ATGAGCAACTTTGCACGCGTGAGTATTAGCAAAATATTTGCTACAAATCACGGAAAAGCAGTGGTGTGAATGGTATGAAGTATATCCGAGAGAGAGATATCGTTAGATAGATCTCACAGAGCTGAGTCGAACGAGCGTAAACTCGTCGTTGTATGACGTGTTGTGGCGGAGTAAATCCACTTAAACTGGGATCGCACAAATGATGCGACCGTGTCAGTTTGATTATACTCCTCGATTTGTTTGTATTTAAAACTGGTTTTGGATTCGCTGAACTGCATCATTTTCAAATTTCATTGGTCGAGAGTCACGTTCGGGACGCAAACGTATGGTTGAGACTAAATTGAGGGTTTTCGGCAATATTTTTTTTATCACAAACAAGAGAATGCATTTTTTAAGTACGCTCAATTTATTCAATCAGAAAACGCGGAATTGTAGATACAGAAGATAAAAACAGACGAATGAATCTGGATACTCCTGATATTGACGGAATAGATATATATATAACCGGCCTGTGAACAAGCATGGCGCCAACACAACAACAAGGTTAACAAACAAAAAGGGAGGGGGTTGGAATACAAAAAATGAAATAGGGCATGTATTTATGGTGGGTAACATGAATAATATTTCTGTTTCTTTCACTATAAACCTTTCGATATATTTTGTGTTAGTCTATTATTTTCTTTGTGGGGCGCGGGATTTCAACTAACACCGTACATCATTCGCGCTGCTAATCTCTATTCTGGGCCGTATCTGTAGGTGTTTTTAACCAACGGTAATCCTCATCCCTTGGGCCCCAATCTGGAAGGTGGGTTGCACCAATCGAAAACAAAGCTGAAACTAGCTTCTTCATACCTCTACGTCATGTCATGGTCTGAACAGCGCTCCCTACAACCTTTTCCAGCACGCGCCAATGAATTAGGTAAAGGTAGACGATAGGCAGGCACACGCAAAACGTGACCACACCATCGGAAGAGGTGTAGAGAACGATCATCCGCACCCAACACATGACGATAAACCTTGTTCCTGCTCATCCAATGTTCCCACCAGGAACAAGCAATGCTTTGGAGATATCAGTGTTCAAATGCATAAATGGCATTAGCATCATCAACGCTGAGGGACCAGGTCCCGCAACCGTAAATTTATTGATGGAAAAGCTGAACTCGTTTTAGTTGTCTCGTTTGATCGCTCTTCAGCACAGCCTTATCCCTCTTTTCAGAAGAGGTGTGAATTCATTTATAACACTATTTGCATTTTCCACAGGTTAAGTGCTACTGCAAGGCGTAGGTGAATTGTGATCATAGTTGCTAGTGTATATATGGGCTTGTTTGTTTTATGTCAGCGCTTGAGGAGATTAAACGAAGTGTTGACCTCTTTCTACTTCTGTAGTTTTTCGGTATTGATAAAGCTTATAATCACTCAAGTTTCCAACCAAAGCTTCTTTACCGAGTGTGGACAAGAACAACGAAATAGATATCCTCTCAACTATCTTTCAGATTGAAACAAATACCCGTTTGACGCACTTCACTGCACTTGGAAACCTGCGTACATTACTACCTTCCGAAAGTCGTCTCCTCAATACTTTCAGTAATTATCTTAGTTATATTTGTGCACTTGTTTTAATTTGCAGAGCAAAAGAACAAGAGGAAGAGAATTGGATGGATCAGTTGGGACTGTATCCTTGTTCCCGTAGAGACCCTCTCACATTTGAAGATCTGCTTCAAAAACTTCCTGAATGTACTGTGGGTAAATCCGGTCGAATTATTCGGATAAGAGAAGATCTCCGTGACAGTTTCGCACCCGCGAGTCAACCAGTAACAATGAAACAAGTAGATTTTACCAATTCCTTGGAACATAAGACTGAGAATGAACAATCGATCCGGTTGGAATTTGTAGCTTTACGAATCCGATCCGAAAATGGTTCTTCTATCTACAATCTGAGAATGTCCATGACGGATACAATAGGTCAACTTTATGCATGTCTGAATGCTGTTCGAGACGGAATCCTTCCATACAAACTGGTTACTGTGGGTCAAAGACGACCGGGGAGCGCCGAAACCGAACTCAATTTAAATTCCACAAACGTTTGTTACAGACGAGCACTGACAGACATGAATCAAACTTTGGAACAAGCAGGTCTTCAAGGCCGAACGTTACTGCGGATGGAACGCAGTCAAGATGCTAAATTCTCACTGTGTCCGGCCTATGCGATGAATAATACCATGTGGACTCCATCCCGTTCGTTCGTTCCAGAGAATTCAACCGGTTCGAATCAACAATGAAGACACCTTATTATTCTTGATCTTCTTTGGATGACCACTGTTCACTTACTTAACTGTCGACCATGAAAACTACTTGTACTAACTGTACACTTCATGACTTATTCATAACGGAGGCTATGCAATTAAATTTAACAACTGTTCAGTCAATTGAAAATTCACTTTTTCATTTCATTGTGGATTTGATTGCTTCTCATTGGTGCGTGGTTATTGATCCTATTCATTTCCCCGTTTATCATTGTTAAATCGATGAATTCTCACTGAAATAACATACTGGGAGTGTTAGTGTATCTTTATTCTTTGCATGCGTAGACGAAGCCCAATAATGTTAATGATAATGATAATGAAAATAATAATTAATAACAGTAATAAGTGAATGAACGAGTAAAACACCTAACCTGGAAGCACATGATTCGCCTTAAGGTATTCAATGTGCGGGTGGTAGAAGCGTATAACTGACAAAATCATATCAAGTTTCCAATATGAAGCTATCTTCTTAATCACGTATTCAGGTACACCATTCTAATCACAAGTCTTCATCTAAACTTTTTGCTCTAAAACACACTAAATGTTTGATTAATTTTTCAGGAGGGGGACTGCGACCAATCAAACGTTGACAGGGAACATGGTGAGGTGAGTAGGTAAAGAAGTTGTCGCGCAATGGTGATCTATCCCATTAGATCACCAGTGGTCAATAAGAAGCACAGTGGTACTCAGACAGCCGATTAGTTTTCTGAGGACTAACAGATAAGAACTTTGACGAATTCAGTAAACATTGTATCTTGCGTATCATACTCTTTGATAATTCGGAAAATCCATGTTCACTTACGCTACCACTCACTCGGTGACAACAGAGGGTCTCTTTGTGAGCGCAATGTATCACANAAGGATTTACGCAGACGTATTCATCGGACTTATCGAGGTGGCATTTGTGTTTAGGATCCATGCTCGATCCGTAATGAACTAAAACTGAACTAAACACGCTCCCTCTCAGGCTCACTCATTATCTTAATTCAGCTG